TTCAATATAATAAAATGCCATTTGGTATAAAAGTTGCCCCAGCCATTTTTCAACAAGTTATAGATACCATGTTATCAGGTTTCAAAATCACAAAATGCTACAATTTTCAGTATCATTAACCTTTCTGATGCTCTCCATCAAATTGGAATCAGTAAAGAATCAAGAAAATGTTTAACAATAAACACTTATCATGAATTGTTTCAATACAATAGAATGCCATTTGGTATAAAAGTTGCCCCAGCCATTTTTCAACAAGTTATAGATACCATATTATCAGGTTTCAAAATCACAAAATGCTACAATTTTCAGTATCATTGACCTTTCTGATGCTCTCCATCAAATTGGAATCAGTAAAGAATCAAGAAAATGTTTAACAATAAACACTTATCATGAATTGTTTCAATACAATAGAATGCCATTTGGTATAAAAGTTGCCCCAGCCATTTTTCAACAAGTTATGGATACCATGTTATCAGGTTTGAGAGGAACTACGGCATATTTCAATAAAATAGAATGCCATTTGGTATAAAAGTTGCCCCAGCCATTTTTCAACAAGTTATGGATACCATGTTATCAGGTTTGAGAGGAACTACGGCATATTTCAATAAAATAGAATGCCATTTGGTATAAAAGTTGCCCCAGCCATTTTTCAACAAGTTATGGATACCATGTTATCAGGTCTGAGAGGAACTACGGCATATTTCAATATAATAAAATGCCATTTGGTATAAAAGTTGCCCCAGCCATTTTTCAACAAGTTATAGATACCATGTTATCAGGTTTCAAAATCACAAAATGCTACAATTTTCAGTATCATTAACCTTTCTGATGCTCTCCATCAAATTGGAATCAGTAAAGAATCAAGAAAATGTTTAACAATAAACACTTATCATGAATTGTTTCAATACAATAGAATGCCATTTGGTATAAAAGTTGCCCCAGCCATTTTTCAACAAGTTATAGATACCATATTATCAGGTTTCAAAATCACAAAATGCTACAATTTTCAGTATCATTGACCTTTCTGATGCTCTCCATCAAATTGGAATCAGTAAAGAATCAAGAAAATGTTTAACAATAAACACTTATCATGAATTGTTTTAATACAATAGAATGCCATTTGGTATAAAAGTTGCCCCAGCCATTTTTCAACAAGTTATGGATACCATGTTATCAGGTTTGAGAGGAACTACGGCATATTTCAATAAAATAGAATGCCATTTGGTATAAAAGTTGCCCCAGCCATTTTTCAACAAGTTATGGATACCATGTTATCAGGTTTGAGAGGAACTACGGCATATTTCAATAAAATAGAATGCCATTTGGTATAAAAGTTGCCCCAGCCATTTTTCAACAAGTTATGGATACCATGTTATCAGGTCTGAGAGGAACTACGGCATATTTCAATATAATAAAATGCCATTTGGTATAAAAGTTGCCCCAGCCATTTTTCAACAAGTTATGGATACCATGTTATCAGGTTTGAGAGGAACTACGGCATATTTCAATAAAATAGAATGCCATTTGGTATAAAAGTTGCCCCAGCCATTTTTCAACAAGTTATGGATACCATGTTATCAGGTCTGAGAGGAACTACGGCATATTTCAATATAATAAAATGCCATTTGGTATAAAAGTTGCCCCAGCCATTTTTCAACAAGTTATAGATACCATGTTATCAGGTTTCAAAATCACAAAATGCTACAATTTTCAGTATCATTAACCTTTCTGATGCTCTCCATCAAATTGGAATCAGTAAAGAATCAAGAAAATGTTTAACAATAAACACTTATCATGAATTGTTTCAATACAATAGAATGCCATTTGGTATAAAAGTTGCCCCAGCCATTTTTCAACAAGTTATAGATACCATATTATCAGGTTTCAAAATCACAAAATGCTACAATTTTCAGTATCATTGACCTTTCTGATGCTCTCCATCAAATTGGAATCAGTAAAGAATCAAGAAAATGTTTAACAATAAACACTTATCATGAATTGTTTCAATACAATAGAATGCCATTTGGTATAAAAGTTGCCCCAGCCATTTTTCAACAAGTTATGGATACCATGTTATCAGGTTTGAGAGGAACTACGGCATATTTCAATAAAATAGAATGCCATTTGGTATAAAAGTTGCCCCAGCCATTTTTCAACAAGTTATGGATACCATGTTATCAGGTTTGAGAGGAACTACGGCATATTTCAATAAAATAGAATGCCATTTGGTATAAAAGTTGCCCCAGCCATTTTTCAACAAGTTATGGATACCATGTTATCAGGTCTGAGAGGAACTACGGCATATTTCAATATAATAAAATGCCATTTGGTATAAAAGTTGCCCCAGCCATTTTTCAACAAGTTATAGATACCATGTTATCAGGTTTCAAAATCACAAAATGCTACAATTTTCAGTATCATTAACCTTTCTGATGCTCTCCATCAAATTGGAATCAGTAAAGAATCAAGAAAATGTTTAACAATAAACACTTATCATGAATTGTTTCAATACAATAGAATGCCATTTGGTATAAAAGTTGCCCCAGCCATTTTTCAACAAGTTATAGATACCATATTATCAGGTTTCAAAATCACAAAATGCTACAATTTTCAGTATCATTGACCTTTCTGATGCTCTCCATCAAATTGGAATCAGTAAAGAATCAAGAAAATGTTTAACAATAAACACTTATCATGAATTGTTTTAATACAATAGAATGCCATTTGGTATAAAAGTTGCCCCAGCCATTTTTCAACAAGTTATGGATACCATGTTATCAGGTTTGAGAGGAACTACGGCATATTTCAATAAAATAGAATGCCATTTGGTATAAAAGTTGCCCCAGCCATTTTTCAACAAGTTATGGATACCATGTTATCAGGTTTGAGAGGAACTACGGCATATTTCAATAAAATAGAATGCCATTTGGTATAAAAGTTGCCCCAGCCATTTTTCAACAAGTTATGGATACCATGTTATCAGGTTTGAGAGGAACTACGGCATATTTCAATACAATAGAATGCCATTTGGTATAATAGTTGCCCCAGCCATTTTTCAACAAGTTATGGATACCATGTTATCTGGTCTGAGAGGAACTACGGCATATTTCAATATAATAAAATGCCATTTGGTATAAAAGTTGCCCCAGCCATTTTTCAACTAGTTATAGATACCATGTTATCAGGTTTCAAAATCACAAAATGCTATAATTTTCAGTATCATTGACCTTTCTGATGCTCTCCATCAAATTGGAATCAGTAAAGAATCAAGAAAATGTTTAACAATAAACACTTATCATGAATTGTTTCAATACAATAGAATGCCATTTGGTATAATAGTTGCCCCAGCCATTTTTCAACAAGTTATGGATACCATGTTATCAGGTCTGAGAGGAACTACGGCATATTTCAATATAATAGAATGCCATTTGGTATAAAAGTTGCCCCAGTCATTTTTTAACAAGTTATAGATACCATATTATCAGGTTTCAAAATCACAAAATGCTACAATTTTCAGTATCATTGACCTTTCTGATGCTCTCCATCAAATTGGAATCAGTAAAGAATCAAGAAAATGTTTAACAATAAACACTTATCATGAATTGTTTCATTACAATAGAATGCCATTTGGTATAAAAGTTGCCCCAGCCATTTTTCAACAAGTTATGGATACCATGTTATCAGATCTGAGAGGAACTACGGCATATTTCAATATAATAAAATGCCATTTGGTATAAAAGTTGCCCCAGCAATTTTTCAACAAGTTATAGATACCATATTATCAGGTTTCAAAATCACAAAATGCTACAATTTTCAGTATCATTGACCTTTCTGATGCTCTCCATCAAATTGGAATCAGTAAAGAATCAAGAAAATGTTTAACAATAAACACTTATCATGAATTGTTTCAATACAATAGAATGCCATTTGGTATAAAAGTTGCCCCAGCCATTTTTCAACAAGTTATGGATACCATGTTATCAGGTTTGAGAGGAACTACGGCATATTTCAATAAAATAGAATGCCATTTGGTATAAAAGTTGCCCCAGCCATTTTTCAACAAGTTATGGATACCATGTTATCAGGTTTGAGAGGAACTACGGCATATTTCAATAAAATAGAATGCCATTTGGTATAAAAGTTGCCCCAGCCATTTTTCAACAAGTTATAGATACCATATTATCAGGTTTCAAAATCACAAAATGCTACAATTTTCAGTATCATTAACCTTTCTGATATATTTTGTCCTTGTTCCTAGATTTGCCACTGGGTGGAACCTCATCGAAAATCATCAGAAAAAAAAAACTCAATTTGAAGCTAATTTTTTCGTATTTTCAATTCATAAAGGCCATAAGTGCCCATAAGCTGTAACAATTTTGAAAAAAAATGGACACAATGTTGGTAGAGAGGGTATTAATCACCTGTCAAAAGATGAATGTGGAACCCTATCGAAAATCATCAGATAAAAAAACAATTTTAAGCATTTTTTTTTGTATTTCCAATTCATAAGGGCCATACTTAAGTGTCCTAAAACCGTACCGATTTGAGAAAAAATGGACACAACATTGGTAGAGAGGGTATTAATCACCTATGTAAGGACCCCCTCATTTCCCAAATATATTTTGTGAGTGCGCGACTGCTCAATGGATAGGTTAAAGGCTCACTCGTCCCCAGATCCGCCACTGTTTTTCTCACGTTAATATAACATGTAAAAATGATTAAAATCTGGAAAAATCACTTCTAATGATCACAGTGAGTTTTTTTTATATGGGAAAAATAATTTGAAGTTCATTTGATATTCTTAATTTCACTGGAATTCCACACAATATAATTCCAGAGTGGTTTAACCTTTACCCCTCGGAAACTGAGCTATCCTTCTCTATGTTTAATTAATCATTTCATTAACCCTCTTTTTCTTTCTCAATAAAGTCATAATATACTTTAATGTCCTTAGATGTAGGAGTAGTACATTCCCAAAAAAATCGAATTTATTTGCATACCTGCGGTCTTATGGCCTGTCTGGAGGGTGCCACAATGGACGTCGCAGTGCTGGGTTTGGGTGCCAGAGTACGCAACTGGTTAGTCGAAGCGGTGGCAGCGGCGGACAAATGTTGTCTCTGAAAAATAAAATCGATATAAATGCATATTAATATTAGAACACAAGAATTCTTAAATTTCTGATAACTATCTGCAAGATAAATTAACCATTAGTTAATTCTATTTGCCAGCCAATAACTAACCGACCAATTGGATTACAGGTTGTGTTTTTATCCGTCAGATTGCATAAAAGAAATAATTCTCACCTTTGCAGAAGGTTCAGCACTTTCATGCACATTATAATCTGGATCGCTATCCTCATTATTATTCCGCCTCCTTTTGGCCCTCTGTCCAGGCGGTTTGCCCTCCTCCACCTTCTCCTTGGAGCAACACTTGGTATAGTCCGTAGTCATCAGTTCCGGATTGGCTCCGGCCAACGCGTGCACCCTTTGTGACTCTTTCTTGTAGTAGTCGATAAATTCAGCACAAGCAGCGCGCAAGTAAGACAACTGACCAGGATCGCACCGGAAACAACTCCAATCATCACTTTCACGGATTTGTTTGAACTTTTTCGGTCCGAAATTGTTTCTGATGCATCGTTTGCAGAAAACAAATTCGCAAGAGGAGCAGCAAAGAACTTGGCCTCCTTGTCCGCACCACCTGCAGTACAACTCGCTGCCGTCTTCGTCTTTTTCGAACTCGCCACTAGTGTAAAAGTGATAGCAGTTTTTGCAAATGAGCACTTTAAGCAAAGGGTGCACGAATCGATTGTTGGCTCCAGTAAGGGCGCTGCCTAAATGTACATTGCAAGCGGTGCAATGGATTTTGGTAGACTGAACCGGGTTGCTGATTTTGTACATGTTCTGGCGCAACTCCATTTCTTCTGGAGTTAAGTCAACTTGGATTTCCGTGCCAGTGTATTCGTCTACTAGAGTAGAGAAGATTGGTTCGTAGGGGAGAGGGCTCAGGCTGCTGTCTCTAGGTGCAGAGGGGGGTTGGCTGTTAGTCACAACTGGGGCTGCTTCGTCAACGTCCATGGATATGTCGGGACATAGGAGGGACGGGTCAAAGTCGTCTTCGTCTTCGTAATCTGTGCCGGTGTTGGTTGAAGAGGAATGCTTGGAGTATGTGGCATCTTCGTCTTTTTTCTTGTCGGTTGTAGGGGTTTCTTGGCTTTTGTTTTCGTCACTTGCGTTGATTTCTTTATCTTCAGTTTTCTCTTCTTCTAGTGGCATTGGTTCATCTTCTACTGTTGCTTCTTTGGTTTCTTCATCCTTTGAGGATTTCTCTTCATCACTCTTCTTGTCTGTGGTTGCAGATTCCGTTTCGTTCTGCACTGTTGCCTCCAAAATAGTTTCTTCTTCAGTACTAGAAATATTATTTGTTGTTGTTTCTTCCAACTCATCAACTACTTTCTCAGCAGTTTCAATTTTGTCTTTTTTCTCAGCAATTTGATTATTTTCAATTTTTTTTTCTTCATTTTTATCTTTATCAATTTCATCATTCACACTCTCTATTTTTGCTTCGTTATTATCGCTAACTTCATTAATTACTTCTGTTGCGTCACTTTTTTCTTTAGTTTCGACTTCATCATCACTCTTTTCAACTATATCTTCTTTGTCAGTTTCAATTTTATCTTCATTATTATCTTCTGTCACATCTTTATTGCTCTCGTCAATTACATCAGTTTCAGCTTCATCACTATTTTCAATAACTTCTTCTGTCTCATTTTTATTATCCTCTTCAATAACTTCTTCCTCAATTGCCATTTTTTCGCTTGTTTCTCCATTAACTAAAGCGACATCAGTGACAGACTCCGTCTGATTATCGTCATCTTTTGTGCCGTCATTTGAATTCGATGACGAATTTGTTGCAGATTCTTTGTCGGTGGGTTTTTCTCGCACATAGAAACCCGAAGTAGTGTATTCTTTGTCTGGAACAAACATAATTTATTATTGACGGATATCTTGTCAGAATTTTGACACTTATTTTTTTCAAATGTTTTTATATACTTAGGTCATGTGAAAGTTGACATGTGACCCAATACTGTCAATTAATAAAAAGAACCTTATAAAATGGCATTATTGGATGTAAAATGAAAAGTACAAAAAATAAATTTAATCCAAAATATCTGTAGGATACTTTTTGTATTTGAAATGTTGTAGATACCATTATACAGGGTGTCTCATTTTGGTTGTAGGTACCGGTTGTTTTTTTTTTTATCTTCGATATCATTTTGATCACCTGATGTAGCTTTTTTGTTTTTGAAGATATCAAGGTAAACAAAAAAAACAAAATGTAGGGTTCGTAACCAAGTTTTTTTCCAAGTTACAAATAAAACAAAACACTATCAATTTTCTGACATATAAACCTACATCATATTTTTTTAAATGGAACACCCTGTATATTATGTATGTATTTAATAGAATATCTTATTCCCTATTCCCATTACAATGCCATGTCATGAAATTAATGAAGTACAATTCTAAAACCTTTTCCAATCTCCACGTAAAATCCCATTGACTTAAATTCAGTTGAAATATGAAAAAATACCCTTAACGAGTAAAAATACATAAATATTAAATTTTTGTATTTTTCACCAAGTCAAATTTTGAGTCACCATGAAATTAATAGGGTACTATTTATACCATTTCCAATCTCCATGCAAAATCCCATTGATTCAAACCTCGTCAAAACATGAAAAACTACCCTTAACAAATAAAAATGCCTAAAAATTGGGATTTTCGTATTTTTTTCCAACTTGGGACATCGAGTCTTGACATGAAATTAATAAGATACTATTTAAATACAATTTTCAACCTCCATGCAAAATCCCATTGACTCTAAAGCTAGGTTTATACAGGAAATAAAATATTGCCTCATGAAAAACAAAAGTGACGTCACTTTCCAAAAATGCGAGGAAACCGAATTTCTTATTAGTAAATCATTCCACACTGACATGACTGTGTTGAATTAAAAAATTTTACTTGTTATTTCCCAACTCACTGTCTAGAAACTATTTTTGTCCTTTACTATATTATAAAAAAAAATAAAGGATAGAGGATAGGTATAATTTTTGCTTTCTGCAATGAACCTTAATGTTGTCAAATCTTTCTTAAAATCAGCCATTAGCAAAAAGATAAATACATAAAATAAACGCTAATGATGATTCACCTAATATGACATTCAATGAAATGAAAAAGTTAAAAACGCAAGTTTAGATTTTTTTACAATGTGGCGTTTAAGTTTTCTTTATTAAAACTCAAATTACTAGTAAAGAAAATTGCAACATTTTTATTTCTTTCTATCACAATGTGGCAACGCTGCCCCGTTCTACGTCACTTGCAAGGCTGTACCAAGTGTAAATCGGAAATTGTTAAAATATTAATTTTTACCAGAACAAATAGAAAGAAAGAACAAGGAGCAAACCACCTAGGAATTTTTTGCCAAAACTGATGTGCAGAATTTAGAGGAATTTGTGAGGAATTTGAAAGAATTGATAGAAAATTGGAGGAATGCATGAGAAATTGGGGGAATTTATTGGTTTTTACACTTTCAGCGTAATGTGTAATAAAAAATAGTGAAATACATTTTTGGGAATTTCCAAAAAATTTGTAACAGGCATTTGCAGAGAGTTTGCAAGTAGTTTGGACAAATGTTTGGGGATTTTGGAGAAATTTGTGGAAAGTTTGAGGAATTGTTTGCACAAATTCGTTGGGGTGGTTTACTCCATAAACCTTGTTCAACTTGGTAGAAATCAAATTAAAAAAAACTTTGAAGATTGAACAGTATTCAAGCTGCATTGAAATTATTCACTAACGATTTGTAGAGTGTTCAATTGGGTTTATTTCAAGCTTAATTATGTTTAGATCAGATTGAAATTAATAAAGAAGGCTTCACAAAACGACATTGAAGGACGTAAAACTTGATAAAAATCAGTCCAAAGGCTTGAAAGCTTTGCAGCTACGAAACCACCCAGCACTGACCCCTGTTGAACACCCCTGTTGATAATTTGGGTGTCTGATTGGCTTTCCCCCACTTTAACTACTTTTTTTGGCCGAGTAGTATAAGATTGTATATTTCGGTACCCCTAAATCTATAGTGTGGAAGCTTATGCAGTAGTATTTCATGATCCACACAGTTAAACGCCTTGGAAAAGTCACAAAATACTACCGCGACAGCCTCGCCACCATTTAGTCCAGTATATACCTCCTCCAAAAGAATAAATATTGTATCCATGGTGCATTTGTCTTTTTGAAAACCAAATTGAACCTCAAAGAGTACCTTATGTTTTTCAAAAAATTCTACTACTCTGCTTTTGATTATCTTTTCAATGATTTTTGACACAGCTGATAACAGAGAAATTGATCTGTAATTAGAGGGGTCTGATGTACTACCAGTTTTGAAAATGGGGACCACTAAAGCTGTCTTTAAGCATTCTGGAAAAGTTCCCGTATGAAATGAATGAAATGCCATATCAGGAAGAGCCATGATGGTATTTACTGAAATGTCATCAGCTCCAGCCGATTTTTTCTTCAGTGATCTTTTCAGGTAAGTATTCTAAAGGATTTATCTTTTGTTCCAAGTGTTCCGTTAATTTTTCTGAAACTGAACAGAAAAAATCGTTTTTTCGGCAATTTCTGCAACTTACGGTCTTACATTTATCGCACTTGCCTCCGAATATCTCTTCACCTCCTTTGGATTCTTTAAACATGCAAGTTGCATAACAGTTCGTGCATATTCCCGACATTGTGCGTTCCTTTGCTTTTAAAAATAACAGGAATTTCCCACCTAGTTGATTCAGCAGAAATATTTCTATTCATTAGGTGAATCACTGAAGTTGAACAAAAAGTTCGTGCGCACCCGGACTACCTTGGCTTTCAAATTTTATAGCTTTGTTTATAATAACTACCCACCTGAATAGATAAGACTGCTAGCAAAAAATGCCAGCAGATAAAAATGTATTGTTATTTTATTTCAATAAGACCAAATCGAGGACGCAATACTGGAAACGGTTTTCAAATTTACACTTAAGGTATTAAATCCATGAAGGTATTAGTTATATGGTTATCACAAACAACATATTTTGTGTAAATTTCGTCGGCATTTAGGACATCTTGGTCTTTAGGTTTAATCCTGTCTACCCACAATTTAAAAAATTTTAGGTATTTCTTGGGAAACCTATGTCTCTTTCTGGTTCAGTCTTCGCATTCAGCAACCCAACAATAGTTATTTATGTACCAAGGCTTGTAAGTGTTACTTTTTTGGCCGAGGATGCAGTTTGCAAGCCGAGGCCCGTAGGGCCGAGGTTTGCAGGCATTTGAAGCCAAAAAAGTACACGCTACAAGTCAAGGTGCATATGATATTTTTTGTGCTACCGTACATTCAAGATAATAAATATTATGAATTTGATGGTGCACCTATTTGCTTTGTTCGCGAAGAAGATCCCAAACTGATCCTGAATGCTAAGGAAAGAATCACATCATGAAAAGCCATTGATATGAAACAATATTTATGGCTTTTCATGGTGTGATTCTTACCTTAGCGTTCAGGGCTAGTTTGGGATCGTCTTCGCAAAGAATAGTTATTTCTTTTACTTTCAAAATTACAAAGTAAATAACTATGAAGTATCTCATTTTTATATTATTACCTATCTGTTTATGCTAATTTCAACTTTTTGACATCTAGGTATTTTCTATTTGTTTCAATAAAATTATATCCTTAATTTGTTTGGGATTTTTTTATTTAAGAAGTCGAGTGTTTTTGTGACATTATTTTGACAGAGATATGAACCAAGCAATTTTCACCTTTCATATCAACACTTTTTTGACCGGGTGAAACAAATAGAAAATACCTAGACGCCAAAAAGTTGAAATTAGCATAAACAGATAGGTAATAATATAAAAATGAGATACTTCATAGTTATTTACTTTGTAATTTTGAAAGTAAAAGAAACATTTTTACATCTAGTCACATTTAACACAGGGATACTTTCCTGTATTGAAGAACTTAAAATATTGGAATAATAATTATTATCTTGAATGTACGGTAGCACAAAAAATATCATATGCACCTCGACTTGTAGCGTGTACTTTTTTGGCCAAGGATACAGTTTGCAAGCATTTGAGCACTTACAAGCCTTGGTACATAAATAACTATTCTCTTCGCTTCTATTTTAAGCAACCACTAAAATTACAAAAACTAAAACAAATCTCGGCCTGTACATACAAGGGTACAAAACAAAACATAAACAAAACTCAACGCAAAAAAATATAAATTTAACAGTAAACTTTTAAGACCTTTAACGTTAGGACACAGTAAAGAATGACGGTAAATGCCAAAGCCTTTATATAGCAAACAAATCTTTACGGCCTCTATTGCCTGGAAAAGGGGAAATACTGGACGGAGTTATAATATAAATTTCTGTGAATTGACCTTTAATTTTGTGTACAGTCGGCGTCATCTGTAGTCTGTCCTCAGGTACTAAACACGTTTAGGCAGGAAAGTATTATTGATTTAACTTAAATTAGATGGCAAACAAGTCAATTTCAAGACAAATTGGCTTTATTGTCGTGAAATTATGTTATTGACGTGATTGGTTTGCCTTCCATAAAAATATTATGCACATCACACTTAAAATTCAAGACATTGGTCTTAGAAACGTTGCAAGACAATAGATTAGCATCGCACCAGCGTTTAATTTCTACAAGATCCTCTTTCACAATCGACCCGAGCAGCTCAGCATCTGAATCGCATTACAGGATGGTGGTATCGTCGGCGAAAATGGTAAAATGCTTACATACATCAAAAAAAGCAGTGTTCCCAATTCCGAGCCTTGGGGAACACCAACACCAAGCGCCTCAGAGGAGTCATTGTTAAAAATGACAGTCTGGACGCGCCCAGACAGATACGATCGAAATCGCTCCAGTAACC